GTGTTTAATTTTTTTAATTTTTTAGTTTTTTAAATCTAAATTTTTTAATAAAGTTTTATTTCATCCTTTTAAAAGCAATATTTAAATTTTTAGTTTAGTTTTTTTTAAATATTTTATTTATTTTTCAAATTATTAAAATATTAAATGTTTTTATTAACTGTTTATTATTTGCAGATGTTTTTTTATTACAGACATCTATCTTCTTTACTTATAATAAATAATAAACTTATTTATTTATTTGTCACTTTATTTTGATTATTTATTGGTCAACTTAATTTTGATGATTATATTTTCTTTCGGTCGTTTTAAGCAGGGTATGTCACTTTATGACAACACTGTACTATTATATATATATATATATATATATATATATGTATATAATTTTATACTTTTTATTACTTTGCCAAATTTGTGTTAGACACTATAATTATAGGCAATGTAATACTGTTCTTGTTATTACGTAATGTAATTTACATTATACAGATTTAACCTCTACTCGCCAGGCCGCCAATGTATGTATTTGTTCGTATTGCACGAAATCCCGAAGAAAGTGCATTAAGTGTAATAAGTCACTAAAGTTCCCTGCTTATAAAAATCTCATTGGTTAATCAATTTAGTTACTAGATTCAGCCGACGGCCAATCAATGAACACTCATACTACTAGGATTCATTTATAACCTATCAAACTGCACGTTGACTAAAAATAATATTATTTATTAATACGACAATTCATGGTAATTATATGCTTTAAACCAAGCTTGATCAACAAGAAGTCTACTGTCAAAAGTTGACAGGAATCTGTATTGTAATTATGGAGATCTTTGATGACAACCGATTTGGCTCGGTGAAACGCATACTCCCTCCGTTTTTGCCAACCTTCGGTTGGCGGCAGTCGGGAGTAAAAAAGTAATTTTATACGATTCTACATACAATTAACCTTTATATTCGCATCATTTATTTTAATAATACAAAATTGCATATTTAAATTGCGCTAGCTTAGCACAAGTCAGCACAACCTTCGGATTCTTCAGAATAACGATATAAAGGGCATTTTACTCTTGAGCGCGCCCTTTCCGTAAGAATTTTAAGTCCATTAATTCGGCTTTATAAATGATCGATTGAAACAATACTGTATATCTGAATTGTGCTAGCTTAGCACAACTCAGCACAACCTTCGGATTCTACAGAACAACGATATAAAGGTCACTTTACTCTTGAGCGCGCTCTTACCGTAAGAATTCTAAGTCTATTGCTGACTTGTGGTAAGCCAGCACAACTCAGATATACAGTATTGTTTCAATTGATCATTTATAAAGCCGAATTAATGGACTTAGAATTCTTACGGTAAGGGCGCGCTCAAGAGTAAAGTGCCCTTTATATTGTTATTCTGAAGAATCCGAAGGTTGTGCTGACTTGTGCTAAGCTAGCGCAATTTAAATATGCAATTTTGTATTATTAAAATAAGTGATGCGAATGTAAACGTTAATTGTATGTAGAATCGTATAAAATTATTTTTTGTTATAACTACTTTTGTTATCACTATTTAAAAGTAAAACTTTAGCACAATGTTAGTACAACCTAGCACAACTTGACACAATTGAAAAAATAAAAAAAAAAACGAAAATGGGGGTCTGATTTAAAAAATGGTTTTTTTAATTAATTGACGCATTTTTCGCATTACGGGTTTAATATTCTAGCACAATGTAGCACAAACCTAGCACAATTCAACACAATTGTCGAAATTATTGATAATTATTGAGAATAGGGGAGCCATCTCCAATGACCTTGACCTTGAC